ATGTCAGGAAAAAAATATTTAATTATAAAAAAGCAATAAAGGTAAATAGTCAATAGGGGTGTAACAATATATCGTGGTACAATTTATTGCAATACAAAAATGTCACAATATGCATTGTGGCGTTATGACAAATGTTTTGCGATATGACATCCGTTTTCTCTTATTGGTTGAGCTACATTCCACCTGCTGTCACATGCATTCAGATTGCTTGAACTAGCAGCAGTAGCAGGCCAATATGAATGCAGCTGAAATAAAGGATGTCTCGTCCTCTTATAAGTTCAGCATCTGACAACATTTTGTTTTTCCAGTTACTGAAGATGACGGTAACAAGAAAACAGACAATAACAAACTGCGTGTAAACACTGTAAAAAAATAATGCTGCCATACAAAGCTGTGAACACTACGAATAGGATGTGCCATTTAAGCCATCACCACAGCACCAAAATGCAATCGAGTGTCTGCCAAAACTAAAGAAATAACAAGATGCAAAGGAGGATTTATGGCAAGAGACATGATACCATTTGGATTTTGCAAATTGAATATAAATAAAATATCATGATGCATATTGTATTGTGAACATCAAATCGTGATACACATCATATTGTGAGCTGAGTGTATTGTTACACCCCTAATAGTCAAGAGAAACATTACAAATTAGATTACAATATTTTGTGGAACATTTAAAGTATTATCTTTCTATTCCTAATGATGTTTGATGACCAAACGCTTATTTTAATAAATATAACTGTTTAATAAAACAAACAAACAAAAAAAGATCATCTATTCACCTTATTCTCCGCCGTCGAGCGAGCGCTGCCATCTGAATCTTTTTGGCTCGAGACTTCCGGTCTCATTCACTTCCATTCATTTTTTGACGTTTAAAACTGCTCGTTACGCTGCTTGATGTTGCAATTGGATATTTTCTTCTTATATTATTCTACTTGGTCTGTATAGTCAGGCAAACATTTGTTTGTAGAGCAAATAGTTTGACCATTTTCTGCCGTTTATTATTCCTAGTCATTTCTCCCATAGGCAACTGAATCGGAAGTTCTAAGACAATCGCGAAAACAGGCGCACTTCCGCATTTTAGAATAAGGTCAATAGCAGGCCTGTCCAATTTCGGTCCTGGAGGGCTGGTGTCCTGCAAAGTTTGGTTCCAACCCCAACCAGACACACCTGGTTGTGGTTGGAACCAAACTTTGCTGGACACCAGCCCTCCAGGTCAATCTCCTACTAGGCTTTCTAGAAACATTCTTGCAGGTGTGTTGAGGCAAGTTGGAGCTAAAATATGCTGGACACTGGCCCTCCTGGACCGAGTTTGGACACCCCTGATCTACTGTATATTCACTGAGAAATGGATAAAAATATTCATTTCCAAAAGAGGCTGTGCACTGTATGTCACATTATGAAAGTTTTAAAATAATCTGAAAAGTAAAAGATGCTGAACATTGTGTGACAAATTAGCATTTAAATATCCCTATGTTAATTATTCTGATATGCATATTTAATCTACTTTTGAATTAATTTTCAGCCTAAGCCGGTGTTAAGTAGCTTTCATGTCTACTTCTTGTCCTCTTGGAGCGATTTCACGGTGGAACTATTTATTTGACGAGCACATTGAAATATTGATGGCTATGGATGGAAATGAACAGGGCCCGTTGGCCGGCCATGGCATTTCCCCAGACAGAGCGCTTGCTAATGTCCCGAAAGATAAATAAATGACCAGTGTGAGTCCCGTTCATGAATATAAATGCAGAGCTATGTCTATTTCTCAGGCGAGTGTCCAGCTCCCTTCCCCTCCAGCTGTTCTGTCGCCACAAGTCTGTACCCTTGAAATCCAATATCATAATCTTTTCCTCATTTACTGCTGACAGGTCATTACAACCTGTGATTTACCCAAGTCCAGTGGTGTCGCAGGCAAAAGTGTCCCCCTCCCCAGGTTTTGAACCAGATTTATTGGCTTGTGGTGTATGAAGATTTATTTTGAGGATGACCTGCGGGTCTGTTTTTAATGAGACACTGCGTGGGGCAATCCTGTTTGGCTCAATGTTTTATTAAGGGCTGAAGGTGAATATTTATTATTGTGCTTTACATTTTATTTTGTATAATAACTTGTATTATGCAATGCTTGCAATGCTATTTTTCATCAATATTTAGAACTAACAAATAGGCATGGGATGGTATAAGACTCTGAGGGTATGATAACCTTGGAAAAAAATATTATGGTATCACAGTATTGTGATTATTGCTCTAAAATATGCTCTTTTTAAATGTCTTGGATTAAATTTCTATTGAACACAAACTATTTTATTTTAAGAAACATTTAAAGTATTTTGGAGCAGTAAACATGTCGGACTAAATAATTAAGATTAGTGTTTGATGTCATAAACACAGATTTTACATCTTGCAAAGGTATCTTTGGATCTCTTTCTTATCTTTGGATCTAAAGTAAAACCACTGCTCTGTTCAGTTCTACAGCATGCTGGATGTTGGTTTAGAAGTGATTAGTTTCTCAAATGTTTGTTGAATCATGAGCTAATCAGTTACTTCTGATGTACAGGGTCCTTTTCTAATGGAGATACTGTTGCCCGAAACAACTAAATAAAATACTCCTAAAAAAAAAAAAAAAAAAAAAAACAACTTACATACACCTTAAAACGGTATGACAAAAAATTTTGGAAAATTAACTGTCCAAATCACGATAAACCATAAAAACTGGATATAGTCTCATGCCTACTTACAAATGTCATTTTTAGAACTGTTATATATATATATTATTATATTGTTATATATATATATATTTTTTTTTTTTTTTCAGTGGAATAATACAATGTAGGTAGAATGTTGACATTACTCTTATTTATATTTTTGAAAAAATAAAGCAATGTATCAACATAAAAATGACAAGACTTGTAAATCTTCTGAAGTCATGCAGCAGCATTATGAGGTTGTTATAAGTATTGTTGTAGTAGTTTTTGTTAAAATAGATTTGTTGAAGCTGCAGTAAAATAAATGAAAATGAAAAAGAAAATAGTTTAAAGCTCAATAGAAAAGTATAAAACAATCATCCAAATCATAATCATAAGTTATGTTTTAGCTTACTAAGGTTGTTATGAGATAAACTAGTTTTGTTTATTGAAATAAATCTGCAATAAAATAGATATTAAATTTAAACTTAACATGAAAACAATTCCTTTGCAGCCAATTTACAAATGCACAAAATTTCTAAATTAAAACCAACATTTACATAGAAACTATAATCAAGAAACTAAAAAAATATATATATTTTTCAACAATACATTTTGTTACAAGGATATTTTTCTTTGTTTGAAGTACCTTTGAAGTTTTCCTAAGACAGATAACACCTAATTACACTGCAAAATAAAATCTTGCTGCCTTACTGATTTAAGTAGAATCACATGAACTATTCTATTTGTCTCAACTTACATGTATCAAACTGACTAAAATTTTTGGCTCTATTTTAACAGTCTAGGTGCAAAGTCTAATGCGAGTGGTGCAAAAGCATCAAGTGCGTGTCTGAATCCACTTTTGCTATTTTAAGGACAGAAAACTGCTGTTTGTGCTGCGGTCCATGCTCTAATAGGGTTGTGCTTATCCTCTTAATGAGTAATGGGTGTGTGTTGTAAGCATAACATGCATTTAACCAATCAGAGTCTCACCTCACATTCGTAGTTGCGTCACACCATGGCGTATTTGCTATTTACATGGCAGACTTTGTAAGTGGAAAAACGGAATCGAAAAAACGAATGCTTCACTAGTGAGAAAACTGTTAAACAGATCATCTGTGCGAGGAGAAAGAATGAGCCATTCCATTCGGCCTCTTTACTTTCTCTTTACTTTTACTCTTCGCCTCTTTACTTTCATGGAGTAAGAAAACAGTGTTGTACACACTCCACTGAAGATTACACTTTTAATTTAGTTTATTTAGCGCAAAGATTTGTTTCAAAACTATTTCTAAATTCAGTTCTTATTTCCAGCAAATTAAATGAAGAGTAATAATGAAGTGTGGACAAAAGACTAGAGTTATATCCAAACAAATGTCCCATTCTTATGTTCCATACGGTAATGCATACGTCTCCAAAACCCTAGAGGTGGACAAATCTAAACTTGTTTTTATTAAAGCAAATATAAATACACATATAATAAATAATACTACTTATAATACCATGATAATTAAATTGCAAATTGTCATGAATAAACTGAAAAAAGCATGAAGAACACATGAAGGTATTCTTTTTTATATTTATGTAGAAAATGATATTTTTGTAATATTCTAATCCTTTTTTTTTATATAAAAATATTTCTTTACTGCTGTACATCCGGTGTGTATTGAGTGTTTGAACCTGCAAAGACACATAACTAACACACTCTGCTCTGGACTTTAGACCAGCTTTTACTTGGTCAATAGTGTGGTCTATTTTAGTTTATCAATATAGCAATGCACCAACAATGCGCCTTAACACACCTCCTTTATAGACCAGAACACCCATGAGTCCACAAAGTGGCGCAAATGTATTTGCTATTTAAACATGGCGCGAAACATGAAAATTAGGGTTGCACTGGCCTGAAAATAGCCACAAATCACGCCAAACACGTCCTGTGCCTTATTGCGCCGAGTGTATGATAGGGCCCATTAAGTTGAAGATTTGATCATTTAAATATTTTATTTGAAACCTGATTAATGTATACTAACTTGTATGTTAAATAACTTATATCGTTCTAGTCATAAGTTTTTGTCATGTCGTTTTTTTGCAGTGATACAAACCCACTTTATAACCAGAATGAAACAAAGAAAACTTTGGAAGGACATAAAGCTCAGTCAACGATGACAGAAATTCCACTTATCCCTTTTAAAATGTAACCAAACACAAAGGTTTAGAATAGCAAATTTGTACGTCTCCCGCATGTCGTGACCCCCGAACGCATTGCATACCACCATCAAAGGCTGGTCTCAGGTGAAGTTCATTTTGCGGTCTGAGCGACGGGTGGTCTGTGTGTGTGTGTGTATGTGACAAGTGGCACACGGCCTGCCAAAAGCTCAACATGCGTCCTGCACATGAGCACACACATATTTACCTCCTCCCAATGATGAGTGAAGTCATCCAATAATGTGATTAAATGACACAGTTCCTATCATAGACCATACCCTAAAATATTCAGCCCGTGCTAAAATAAGTCAGATATTTTCAGAGTGCGGTCACACGGGCTGTTAATCCATCACTGAGAAAGAAAAAAAAAAGTGTAGTAATCTAGGTCAAACTCAACAGGGGTTTAATTAGTTACAATGCTAAGTGCTCAAAGAGTTTGTTAAGCGCTAACACACCAAAAGTGGTCATGCGTAAGATGGGCGAATGCGTGTGGATATGTGTGTGTGTGTGTGTGTGTGTGTATGGTGTGTATTTTGATACCGTGCTGCGTGTTTCTGAGCTGAAACGCCATGGCTTGGATCACCTTTCACTTCAGGGCCTCATATCCTAAGAGGGATGTTAACTAGCCGCATTAGACTCTTGCTAGCGCTGCTAAACCAGGCTATACCTGCACTCATGCATGCTGTGTGTAAGGATAAATCAATGTTTTACTTGCGCATGAATGCGGCTTGCTGACTGATTTTTACTGATGTCGTTTAGGACTGTGTGATATCAAGACACTGCAAGAAGGAGAGATCTTCAATATGAACACAGGTAAGAGCTAATCCTTTTCTTTTTTTCTGGACTGTATGGTTGAAATCTTGGAATAATAAAATGTTAGTTGTACTTTGGCTAAAAAATAAGGTGATTTTTAGATTTTTTTGATAGTTTTTTTTTTTTTTTTTTTTTTAGTCATTGTGTTGTTGTAACATGATGTATGCCAATCATTACCTACAATAATATACTGTTCACAACTTTCTGAAAAAGAGGTAAAATCTACTGCACTTGTTTTTCACAAGTTTTTGCATTCAGATTTTGTTAAATGTAAACTTGTTATATGGATTTAAGTAAAATTTGCTTAACTAAGTTACCTAAAAGTACTTTGTATCAAGTATATTACTCTCTCTTTTTTGCTTTACTAACAATGAGAAAAAAAAAACATTTAAGAATTTAAGTGCATTTACTCATTGTTACTCTTTATAAGACAACATATTTACCACACATTAGAGAAATTTAACATAATTGGCCATTTTGAGTAGAAAATGAACTCCAGATTTAGTTACTGCACTTGACAACTGTAGCGATGATAAAACATTTTAATTACAACTTAACAACAGCAAAAATGCCACAGCGCATTGTGGGGACATCATTATTAGAACGTTTAAAAGGACTTTATACATTTTATTACTCTCAAAGGATCATAGTAAATCATTGTTTGCATTTATTTGATCAAAAATAACAAAATATTATTATTGTATTATATAAAAATACATTGTCCTTCAGAAATCATTTAAATAAAATCCCAATTGCATGCATTTGTGTTACATATTTATTTATTATATTATATATTATTTATTTATTTTACTTTAATTTTGTTATTATTATAATTTTTTTTGATAAATAGAATATTCAAAAGAACTTTTATTTGAAATAGAAATGCTTAGCATGTACAAGTCAACTTGGTCACACTTAATTTTGATGGTCTGTTTGTTGAAACGTTGCATCCACATGCCAACTAATTCTCATTAAATTATAAGTAGACTGTTTGTTTGGGAATAGGGTTGGGGTTAGGGTTAGTGTAAGTTGACATGTACTTGCAAAGGTTCTTATAGTCAGTTATATGTCTGTTGAAGGAGCAGTATCAACAGATATTAAGCAGACAGTCTACTAATACTCAAATGGACCATCAAAATAAAGTGTTACCATCAATTAAAAGCATTCTTGCTGATACAAAACATTTCATAGATAGCTAATATTGAATACTGATGTTTTATATACCGTACACAAGCTCAATGGGGCCAACTTTATTAGTATTTTTGACTTGCTTTTGTGTTCTCGACAACAACAGACAAAAAAGACCTTTAGATAACTCAGATCGCTATTACTTTTATGGAATATTTGGATTAAATGAAACTCACAATTTTTGTGTCTGCTTAAAATAATTTACAAAATTTATTTTACATAAATAAAAAGCATATTTAATTAAATGTAAACTTTAATGCATAAAATAACACTGGAGAAAATGTCAACATATCGGTAAGAAAATACTGTTTTTCTATGCATAATTCCACAAAGCAGATACGCAGTGAAACATTAAACCTGCACTTTTTGTTTCCTTTTTTATTGGAAAAGTGTAATTAAAAGAATATGATTTATATTAATTTTCATATTTATTAAGAATATGATTTAAGTTTTTAAGTAGTTATTTTACTAGTATTTGCTCAATTATTTAATGCCCCACTCCGTTAAACACTCCATTTGACATGCCTTATGAGATTGGAAGAAGTTTAAAAACATCTTGCTTGCAAATGGGTAAAACCTAGTGGTTCAAAATGACATTTCAGCTTCTATAAATCATTATAAAAAGTCATTATATGCTAGTCATTTTTATTGCTCAACCCTTTTGGGATCTGCCCTATTTACATAATAAATGCACATTCAGTAATGTAATTTAATTATATATTTGAATTATTAAACTGACTAATTGTCTACTGTCTGAAAGATAAAGAAGTGCATTTGGCTCAGCAAGAACACAAACAAGATGGAATTCACTGGCCGCCAGCCATAACAATGTCTACAACCAAGTAAACAATTTACACAATATTGACTCTAATCAAATGTTATGAGGCAGAAAGGAGTGAAATGTGCCTCTCCTTCTGGAGTTGTTTATGTCGGGCTGGGCATGTGATTTTGTATTCATCTCAGGGATTCTGAGAAATGCTGTGCAGGGGGTGTTATTTCTTGGCTGACTTTCTTTAAGAACTCTGTCTTTTTAGATTCTAACAAAGACTCTGGCGCTCAAACTACATTTTTGACATCCAGAGGTAAAGCAGGCAGGAAAGAGGAAACCTGTCAGGCTACTGTACATCCGGCATTGCCAACACACACACACCCCCTGCCAATTTAAACCATGTAGTCTGTGGTTATGAACACAGTTTTGGGTTCTGCTCCAATGTTGAATGTCAGGATTTCTTAGAAAAGACCTTGAGGTTAATACACAGTCTAATAGAAGGTGTATATGTGTATGACAATATATTTTATTTCTATTCTGAGCAGAGTTGATAATTTGCGATAAACTATATGGTACTGTTTTAAAACTATATTTAGAAGTAATCTTATTTTCATTAAAATCAGCTATACTGTATTTTTTGTTTTCTATTATTATTTTTATTATTATTATTATGCACTACCTGACAATAGTCTTGCCGTCAATCCCAGTTGTAAGAGCAACAAATAATAACTTGACATCTAGTTGATCATTTGGAAAAGTGGCAGAAGGTAGATCTTTCCACTGAATCATCAATTGAATTTGGCATAGGGCATGTGAGAGATCTGCTGAGTGGATGGCAACGTCAACAGCCTGAGGTATCAAGACATTTGTGCTGCCCATTACATTACAAACCACAGGAGAGGACAAATTCTTCAGCAGGATAGCACTCCTTCTCATACTTCAGCCTTCATATCAAAGTTCCTGAAATCAAAGAAGATCAATGTGCTCCAGGATTGGCCAGCCCAGTCACCAGATATGAACATTATTGAGTAAAGTAGAGTCGTTGAAGATAAATCTAATTAATTTTGATGAATATTAGGAGTCCTGCAAAAATGATGAAGTTGTTTGAGTCATTGCAGAGATGAATGGAGGCCCTGGTTTAAGTCCTAGGGAGTCATACACAATATATATATATTTTTTATATTCTATACTGTACATTATTTCTGTTAAGTGACAAGACTTTTGTCTTAGCAAAGTCAGATCTTACTGTCCTAATTAAATAATTACAAATCAAGACATGATCATATTTTATTAAGTGTTTAGTCAATATAGAGGCCATTGCTTTTTACAAGCTACTTCTGATACCAAATGATCAATTAGAAGTCGAGTTATTATTTGTTGTTCCTAAAACTTGGATAGGCAACAAGACTTTTGTCAGGTAGTGTATATCCCTCTTCAAATTCAAAGTAATTACTATAGTTCTTTAAAGTCACATTTTCTGAATTCAAATCCAGAGCTCAAAACATAGTATAAGTGTTGTAAAAATAGCTTGCTTTAATTTAATACATCCTTGCAAATTAATCAATTAATCAACAAATCAATCAATAAACTAATCAATCAATACAAAAGTAAACAAACAACAAATAAATATAAATAAATACATATGCTGACTACACAGTACTGTAGGGAATCTATGATTTATTTTATTTTATTTTTGTTTTGTCAAAGTGTTAAAGACTAAAAGAATAGTCATAAGATATGCTGTAATTTAGTGGTGGAGATTTTTATTTATCCTCAGTCTTAAATATTTCATCTGCCAGCGGTTTTTATTTGTTAGTGAAGTCTATAGTGAGAGCACAAATGATTGGAAAACTAAATGGAAAAGGAGTCATGGAAAAATAAAATAAATTCACCATAGGTCAAAAGGTGTGGGAAGCCGAAGCACCAGAGATCCACCCATTTGGCATATCTAAGCATGTACATCACACACACACACACACACGCACACGCACGCGCACACACACACACACACACACACACACACACACACACACACACACACACACACACACACACACACACACACACACACACACACACACACACACACACAGCCACAAAAAACTATTTTGGCACATGGAATGTTTCTGTATATTGTTTCTAAAGACATATTTTGCATTGCCCAGCTTGCATGTGAGTTACAGTTTTCTTGCCATGCAGCAGTGCTGATGCATGTGCATTTGTGTTTGCATGTGCTACTGCGCTTTTCACAGACAGTGGAGGACAAATCCGCAAATGTGCCACGCTTTCACTCACTTTAACCCCCATGAAGAGAATCCAGAGCTCGCCAAACCTATACTCACTCACAGGTATCAGACACACTCAGAGAGAGTCAGAGACCAGACTGCATTAAAGTGCCCTATTATGCTTTTTCATGTAGTGTGTAATGCAGCCGTTTTGAGAATGTAAAGTGTATGCAAAGTTTCTAAGATTAAGGTGGACAATCAATGGCGTAACTGTGTGCTAAGATAAAAAGAACCGATCCTGAACTGCCTGAAACAAGTCGTTAACTTCATTTGCTGCTATTTACTGTACATACTGTTATACCGGTCTATGGTCTTTTCATTGGCTGCTGAAAAAACACTGTACAGTGGTTGTAACTGAGACCTGAAATAGTTTGTTTTGAGAACACAGCAAAAACACAGCAAATTGTATTTTTTATTTGATTTTGAAATTGAATTGTTAAATTTAATACATAGATACTAGCATGAGAAATGTGTTTGAATTACCTATTAAAATCAATAGGTATTATAAAAAAGTTGAATCAAGTTATCAAATCTCATTAATCTTTTCTTCACTGTATAACTTAAACATTCTGATTAAAGAGCAACGAATGAATCTCTCATTTAGATTTTTGATTTGATTACATTAAATAACAGAGGTGTCACTTTAGAAATGCATATTTGTAATGAACTAATTTGATTGTTTTCCTAACATTTTATGCTCATTTAAGACAAAATTTGTTGTATTTAAAAGAAAACCCACCAAGATAGACATTTTTTGATGTTTTTATTATTATGTGTATATGTCTGTTCAAACACACAGCCAAAACCCAGAGTTTTCTCCTTTGCTCCGCTTCAAATCGGGTGTACAAAATCTTTTTAGAAAACAGCGTCTGTCTGTTTTGAGGATTGCAGAGGGGAAATTTCACATGCAAAGGAAAGGAAGGGAATTCTGCAATTTTTATATATATTTCAAAGTGTTTTCATGTGTAATTAAAATTAAAATACAGAACAGATTCACATTTAAGAGCAAGGAGCATCTCCTGGTGGTTCGACGATATGGGTTGCATATAGGGAGGATCGGCTGTTTAATGTCTATTGCTACCCTTCATAGAAAGATTGAAAAATACAGGAGAAATATGGGAAATAGGTGTGTGTGTGTGTGTGTGTGTGTGTGTGTGTATTAACTCTAATGCTAGAAGCAACAACAAACCATTTGAGTAGCTATATGCAGTAGTTGTTTGGACTTAAATCGTTTGATTAACTGAACTCATACCGATTTAATAACTGAACTTAAAATGTTTAGTTATAAATACTCCTAATGTTTTCAATGATATGATATTAACACAAATAATATATGTGTATATGACTCATTATATATTATATATTTTATAGATGTATGTTTACAGCACTCAAATCATTTTGTTTCATAACCTTAATGGTTTCGCCCCAAACAATTTCCTCAAACAGTTTGAATTAACTTAACTTTTTGGGTTTTACAGTGTAGGTGCCATCTGAAAATTTTAAGATGAGCATTTTTCTCAGATTCTTATGTTTATGTTTGATTATTTCACTTTAAAGGCAATACGAGTAAATTATTTTTTGCCATAAAAGTTAAATTACAGAACCTACACACAGGAGCCTGAGGGAAATGATCACTTAGAAGAAAACTAGATGGCACTTAGAGGTTATTGCATCTGAAGTCTTCATTTGTTTTCCTCCTATGGAATACTATAAAGATTATAAGTCTTAAGTCTTAAAATTGCTTTTAACATTGATTTAAGAAAGTTATATTAAAAGACAAAATATTTTGTTTCGTGCTTGACATATTCTGTACATTTTATTACTAATAAACTGTACAATATATTAAATTTGGTCCTACAAATCTTAATTCATAAATTTTTTTACAGAAAGAAAACCAAGATATTTTGCAAAAAAAGTCCCCTCTCCCAATGTGATTTCCAGGGGGATTGGTAAATCCAGATAAATTATTATGGTTTCAGTCACTGGTTGACCATAATAAATAAGGACAAGGCACTCTAAAAGGAGGGGGTTTGGGCAAACAAATCAATGAAACTTTAAATGACACTGCTAAGATAGAGTTGATGTCGCAATACATATTATAAATAAAAAACATCAAAATGTTTGTAGATCTTGTATGGATGTAAACCTACAGTACAGTGTAGTTAGGAGACTTTACATCAAATTAAGGAACTTTTAAATAGCATAAAGGGGCACTTTAGCAGAATAATGCATGCATCTTTTCAAACAAGTGGTTCCTATTCATGTTTGTTTGTCTGTATGTCAGTGGAGCATTATTCACTCTGATCTGAAGACACTGCTGCGGCTATTAAATGTGACGGTGTGTTTACTCAGACACCGCAAGCAAGAATTTGTCTTTACTGCACTCAACGTCACTCATTCCACATCTGTGTTTAGTCCTGCTGCATCTAAACCTCTTTTTTCCTCTCTTGTGCTCACCATCCCATACTTGTTCTTGCAGCTCCTTAAGGAATGTTTGAGAACGGCAGCTCTTTTTTCCTTTGCTTAAAGGGAAAAAGCAGC